AGGATCGTTGGCAGCCCCGATTGGAAAATACACAGAGTGGGATGCACGAGGCTGGTGGGTTGGTATCGGGTTTGCATACCACGTTGGATGATTATATCCTATATGATAACATGGCAACACAAAGGAGCAAAAACACATCAAGTTATCCCGCTTTTGACCCATGGCCACATCGTTGACATAAAGCAACCAACGATGTTTCATGGTTTGACCGAAGAAAGCACCTGATGACGGTAGGATCACTCCAGTTCCAACCTGGTTCGTGAAGATTTCGGCTGTGGGGGGGTTGGGGGACATGCATGACCGGTGTCATTTGTTCTGTTTGTTGTTGTATTACATAGTAGTTGAGTCAGTTGCGGCCAACCATGCTTGGATCTCGAGCAAGTTGTTGTGGTGATAACAGTAGTGACGATGGTGGTGCTAGTAGGAGAAGGAGGAGGAGGAGCAGGAGCCTGAGCTGCTGCAGCTGTGGTGTTGTGGGTGTTGCTGTTGCTGCTGTTGCTGCGGCTGCGGGGGCGGCTGGGGCGGGGGTGGGGGTGGTGGTGGTTCTGGATGGTTGTTCTCGTTCCACGTTGTCTTGGAGGGCATCGCTAGGAGCAAGGACGCTACTAGTAGCTCCTGGCATTACTACTAGGAACAAGAAACTACTAGGAACAAGGGCATCGCTCTAGGAGATGGTGTGCAGATCTATCAGTTGACTAGGTCTTCCCACAGGAGAGGATGGGGCCCAGAAATGGACAAGTCCCCTTCCAAGGATCCATTCCATTTTTGGGAGGTGTGTTTGGAGTTTGGTGAGAAACAGCTAGATATAAACATTTTGTGGGTAAGTTACATAAGTTCCAGTTTCAGCCAACGAGAGCGCTATCCTAAGGTTCGTTGGTTCCAGTTTCTCCTACAGACGACATGTTTTCTCTTCTCAGTCTTCTGGCTCACACTACCAAGCATCATGAAGAGGTATCATTTTGTTTGTTTGGTTTGTGTGGTTCGGATTGTTGGCTGGTTAAAAAGGGCTTGAAGATGTTTTTTTTGTGACCGGCCACATCTTGTACTACCTGGCAACAACCTGTTCTTAATTGTTTTTCAGTGACCAACATTCCCATGGCATCCCATTGCAACAATGGTCACCGGTATCGCTGCACGTCCACGTCACCAGTATCGAGGTGCATGGCGCGGCAGAAGAGAGGGCTTTAGGCTTCGTACCAAGTCATCAGACAAGGCCCAAAGTATCCGAAAGTGATGAGACCAGGTAGCGGGTCATGGAGAGTCTTGTCGTTTTTTTCAGATTTGGTATAGATAGAAGCAGAACGATTTCGGACGCATTACCATGCTGCTATGTTTTGCAGACTGCCTCATTTTCGAAGGGAAGAGTGCCGTAGTTTGCGATTACTGGTCTCTCAGAGCCCGAATCATTGGACCGGGCAGACCGGCTTGATTCATGTTGTGAACTGACTCTTTCGGGCAGGTGGAGCTGGATGTTTGAAGCGCAAAGAGATCGTCACAGGATTCCATTGTAGAAAAACCCTGACCAACAGTTCATTGCCTCATGACAATTCCTTAAAAATGGATGGGAGGATGATTAGTAACTTTGAAGCTCCTGATCCCAGTGAGACTGTTGATGATGGATAGCGAATGTGTGTCCCTCACGGAGTTTGATTTGGAGTCTAGATGAAGGACGTGTAAGCAAAACTAGATGCGCGCCGAAAAAAGTGGAACAACTAGAATCTAGATGAATGAAGGAGGGTGTAATTGTTTATTTATTTTTCTTTCTTTGTTCATTTCTTCTTCAGTCAATGCAGGGCAGCTGTTGGCCAGACAGGTACGTGAAGAACAAGCGGGAGGATCTTTTGAAACTCCCAGGCCGGCAGAGCATGCCGCCAGCGCTGGGTGAGTGTCCACCGTTTATGTCAAAGAATCCCCGGCTATAGTTGATCAAACATATACTGTAAAGGACCTCCAAGAACTCCAAGAACTCTAAGAACGCTGATGAGTAGAAACTTCTTTTCACTGCACCCGCACGAAACTGGGTAGCACGGGTAGCACATGTGCTGAGCCGTGTGCTTTGGGCTTGCCGAGGCTCCCAAAAGGGCTTGGATTTGAGGCAGTGGATCGATGCACTGAACCGCTTCGCCGAGGAGGAAGTGAATGCCTGGTGTGGCCTGGAGTACTCAAGGATGCGGATTTTTGGGCAGAGCCATGTAGACTGTTGATGAGTTTTATTCCCCTCCAATATGAAGAGATGTTACAATCCCATTGGAGGGGCTGATTCCTCCGTCTTTATGACCAGATTACAAAGGCTCACCGAGTTCTCAGCCTCCATGCTTCCCCTCTTCCCACTGGTTCACAGCACCACGTGAGGCTTGGATCCCGGGTGGCAGCCATGTGGGCGTCGGGGAGGTGAGGCTCTGATGGCCTACCAGAGCCGCCCGGCCATGGCGCTCTCCACAGTGCCTTGGGAGAAGCTCAACCGGCCAGGCTGAAGGAGAAGAAGATGTTTCAATTAGATTGCCAAAGACTTTCCGAGCCCTTTCTTTAAAAGGTTGAGGGTGGATAGGGGGTCCTGGTCCTTTCCCGCTATGCCCAAGACTCAAAACGGGTGTGTTTCGGCCCATGTTGCGAGCCAAGGCTTTGGCTGAACTCAGAAGTAGAATTCTACTTCAGGTCCTCTTGGAGTAGAAGAAGAGAAATGGCTCACACTGACCACTATAGTCCCAACACCTTTAAATTTAACTATTCTTGAGCCACCTAAGGAGTTCGCAGCTGAGATTCAGCCGCTACGGTGGAGACACCGTTGGACTGAATCCATGGGTTCCCCACTCTTTCATCAGCCGAAAATGGGAAGTGCACACACGTCTGTACCAACCAATGTGTTCCATGGCCTCTCTACATGGATGTGGCTCAAGACCCACGAACTTGGACCCAGAGGTTTTAGTATTTTCTTATGTATATATATATATAAATAACTATATAAGTATACAAAGCTCTTCTAAACATATAACTATAACGATACTGTAATGAGTAATAATAATATAATCTTTTTGGCAGTGGATGGCACCCGGTTTTTGATCCCACCACCGGCTGGTCTGACGTACACATCTTCTCTGCGCCTCGCTTCAGATCCTCGAAGGTTCGTTCATCCACAAATTGGCTGCCTCTGTTGAAAACGGGTGGTCCGTGGTGGCTGCTACTTCCAACCTGCCCGAACGAACCGGCCGGCAGCTGTTCGGCGTCGCACGCGGCAGCAGTTCCGCACTCGCCGTCGAGGTGGTGGTGTCCAGCTACGTGGATGGGAAGAACATGCCGACCCGGAAGGCCATTGATAAGGAGCCCAGCGTTGTTGAGGGGCTGGATGAGGATGCATCCACTTTCGCACCAGAGATGCAGATTTATGTGTTATTCACCTGGATGGATAGAGAACAGCTGTTTCCACCAGGAAGTTACAATCTCTAGTTTCCATGGGCCCAGACACACATTGTTCTTCACAAGAGTGGTCAGGGTTTGAGTGTACGAGCAACAATCCTTTAGGCAACTGCTTCCACATGGTCTTTCACCACTACTGCCATCCTTCTGCTCATGGCAGGATGTATTTGAAGGACAACGCAAGTGCTCCGACCCCTTGAGCAAGACAGTTGCAGCCCGACCATCAGAAAGGGTGGGGTGGGTTGCCTTTTTTGCAGGGTGGCGGGAGGGTGGGTGATGGATGTGGGGCTTGAGAGTAGATGGCACAATTATTCGGGCATACAGTGGATCCACATAAGTCAGAAACCGTTGTAGATCATGAGATACCGCCTCTCTTTTCTTCCTCCCTCGGGAGAACTGCACCGGAAGAGTGCGAAGCTTGCAAGCCATGTGTTGAATTTCCATGTGGGCCCACATCTTCAGTGAAATCACGACCGCCTTCTGCTGAAAGGATCTGTTTTGTGCCAGTTGTTTTGTGCTGGCACGAACGTGAAGGACAAGAGTGAGGACACGATCACAGACCTAGTGAATCTTTTTGAACGGATTAGTTGACAACTACTATAGAGGTTGCTGTGATGACACCCCGGTACTCACCTGCCAATATTCATTTGGCAAAAACCCATTCCCCCCACAAGACCAGTGCTTGTTTGTCACCTGTGCGGCCCAAAAAGAGGTGCGAACCATCCCTGGGATGAACCCTTCGTTGGGACGTACCGTGCGGCAAGTGTCGTCTTCCCAGGTGGAGTACCTGCTGCGGGGCGGGGTGCGACGTGTGGTGGTCGGCCACAAGCCCTGTGGCGAGGCGCCGGCGGTGCTGCGGACCGAGACAGTCCGGGGAGGCTACGAGGTGAGCACTGCGGGGGTGAATGTGCAGCATGGGCATGGGCATCGGTTTCAGTATGTTTCATTGGTTGGCTGCTTGGATGGTGGGTTGGTTGGGTTGCTTGGGTTGCTTGGAAACCTTGGGTTGCTTGGTTGGTTGGTTGGTCGGTGGGTAAGTCAGTTGGTCAACAGGTCGGCCGGTCGGGGCTGTTGTGGAAGCAGATTTTGAACTGCTTTGGAGAGAACTGCAGCACGGGCTTCTTCCAGGACCCTGGTATTTTTTCATGTGAGTTGGCGACATGTTGGGCACAGCGTTTCTCAAGATCGATGATTTTAAAGCTTTGCCACAGGGATGGGCACAAAGAAGCCTTTTCGGCAACATACCTGAAAACAGCGAAGAGAACTGCTCCTGGGCGCCTAAAAGAAAAACAATATGCAGGTCCACGCAGCTTGAGCCAAAGTGAAATCCCTCATATCAATCGATCACCAAGGTCATTTCGGGGGACACCAACTATGCCAGCATCAAGGTTGGAGGGGCGGACTTCGCGCAGGCTTTTCATTTGAAGGGGATCAGCAATGGTCAGAGGCAGGTTGTGGTATAGTGCAGCAGCAATTCAAGAATTCTCTGACAAGTACTTCATCAGCAGATCTGCTGGCTGAATCCTTCATATCATCACAATCAGGTGTCCCTAGATGAAGCAACATGTGGAGCTCGACAGTTTAACCTGCCGGGAATTCAGGTAGAGCCTGATCCTCACCAAATTCATCCGGTTTCCTGTAAATGTCAATTTTCTTTGAGTTGGGACCGCAGGACAAACACGTGAAGTTGATGAACAGAAATGCAAACATATCCACCAGGACCCTATAAGACGGGGATCGCAGCAAGGTCGGAGAGGGAAGGTCCCTATAATAGCTTTAACATAAACATGGGCAGGCTAGGCTTGTTGGAGGGACCCTCTAGGGACTTCTGTTCGCTTTGTCAGTCCTAATTTGGTCAGACTTGCTTCTGAATGCGATGGGCGAAGCCGGACAAATCACGGCGCCGCCCTGTCTCTCACGTTCGTTCAGTCCACTTGTTGGTCTTCTCCTCAATGTCCAAGGGTCGGCTCCTTACCACCATAAGACCACCATAAGGTTGACAGGGTTGACTATAAGACCACCATGGCGTCTCCCAATTGGTAGACCCTTCACTTTGACCTCCGTAATGAAAGCAACAACAGACAGACACCCCAGTGATCTCCAGTGGCTTTCTCACCATTCTTGTATGTTCATTATGCTATTTTTATTTTTATCTTTATATGTCCTTTTTTCCTCTCTCTCTCTCTCTTTCTGTCTATCCCTCTCTCTCTTTCTCACACGCTCCAATACCCAATGAGCACTTTGATTCACTTGATCCTGGCATCCATCGTGACTTCACAGGATGAGAGGCATATGCGTGGCGGAGCCTGGTGTGAGGCGCGTGGAGCATGGATTGGTGTCTCAAAATCAGAGAATGAAGAGCTTCTTCACTAAGGTTGGTTGGTTAGTTGGTTCAACCGGGCTTAATAACACAATGGCTCGGGAGATCCAAAGACACCTGAGACACTCTGGGGACACTCCAATCCATGGGAAGACCGACTTCATTCCCTGAGCTGTTCATGTAGGAAGTTATTTTTCAACTGGAGGTGATGTTCAGGTGTTTCACCGAGCACCCCTTTAATGTATTGTGTGAAAGCAGAATAGTATGAAATCGTAGAACAACAGAAACACATGCATACGATGCCCGCTCTGGTTTCTGTCCTCTTCTCCACTAGTGACTAGTGTTTAGTAGATTTTCCTTCATCAGGCCATGATTTTTTGTTTTTTGATTATTTTTTTGTCTTGGGGGTCAATTTGGGTGTGTTTGGACCGTTCCTCATTTTAAAGCAATATCATACAATATTTTAAAGCAACATCTTTGCACCATGAACGCTCTCGTTTTTCGCTCTCTTTTTCTTCTTCTGGTACAATGCCCCGCGCGAGAAACGGTGCGTCAGGTGCGTCTCTCGCTCGGTGCCGTCAGCAGCCAAGCGCGCCTGCGGGGAGCGCTCCCGGATAGCGGCGAGCGCTATGATGTGAGGCTGATGCCATTGGGGAAGAGCGACGGCAGCTTGGATAAGGATGGGGAAGGATCTGTCTCAAAGTGGAAGTGATTCCTTTTTTCCTGGCAAAGAAGCCATCAGGCAACCCTGACATGTTTTTGGCTCGAACGGGCTTTCTCCCATGTCACGCTCCAAAGAACAGCTTCATCTGTCCGGCTCGGCTGCAATGTTTCTGCAGCTTGGGTGAGGCAACCCTGACATATGTATACTGTATACTGTATTATGCCGTATATAAATATCGGCTTTTTAAGGAGGCACCAATGATCAGGGCAATGTCGCTGTTCGCACCTCTTGATGGGTAGGGCCAGAAACAATATGTGTGCACTTTATGTAGAAGAAGAACCTTTCAATGCGCCCCCTACTTGAACGGAGCCCTAGCGAACACAAGACTCTCGAGAAACGAATCACCACCGAGAACACTATTAGCACGTCCAGCGCATGAAGGTTGGCCTCCAGGAGACCCACGTGTGGGCCGACAAGCCAAAGTTGGCCAAGAGTGCCTTGGGCGCGTCCAGAGGGCTCTGCTGACATTGTTTGACAAGATTCCCTCATTGAAGGCAAGGATGTACCCTCAAAACAAGGCTTGACAGTTATTGGCTTCAAGGCGGACATTTCATATGCCATTTCCTATGACATGACCGTTTTTTTGTTTTGCTTCCGTTTCGTTTTGGCAGATGTCAGCCTGGGTTCTGGATAGGTGATGAAGACATATGGTGGGATCTGCCGTCGGAGGCAACGTCAACCTTCGGGAGCACTCAAGATCATCTCAAGACAAAACAAACAATGTATGAGCTTTGAGATCTCAACAAACACGATCTACCTGCTGCTCATGCATGATAGCTTTCGGGATGGCAATTAGTGGTACTTGCTCTCCTTGATGGTCACAATCATAGAAGGATTTTGTCAATTTGTCGGGCAGTCTTTGGGGTATGCAGGCAGAGGAACATGTCAGGGTATTGCTCTTAAAGGCATCCGGCCTTTCATTGTGAGCAGAACACTCCCCTTTCGCACATGTTCACCCATCAAGTTTTGTATGTCTACGGTCGATCTACATCCAGGGCTCAGAAGTGCAGCAATGAAACTTCACACTATATAGACTTTTGGAAGAATGCTGGGAACTCCAAGACGCTGCTTGGGGGGAAGGAGGCAACAAGTATGTAACGGTTTCCAACAAACAGACTAACCTAACCAGCTTTTTGCTTAGGGGTCGCTTCGTGCTACGTCCAAGTGACCCAGACCTGCCCAGACATCAAGTAGGAGTGTGGTGAGTTGATGAGGTGGCTTTGGGTCCGCTTGAAGCTGGAGAACGGAACATATTTGCTCTCTTCTGGCCGTAATCGAAGCTCGAACTCCACCACGCTGAAGGCCGCTTGAAGTGATGGGGAGGGCCCGTGCGTTTGATCCAGTCATCGCCCAACGGCGTTGTTCGTAGGTCTTCCCTGGTCTTCCCTGGTGATCCACGACCAACACCGACCTCAATCGGAGTTTCCTCGTGCGGGTGAGGCAGCCGACTTCGAGGTGACGGACCCGCCACCAGCCTTGATGAAGTCCTGATGGAACCGTCAATCCTCGCCATGGTTTTGGGCCGTCAGTCGTCATGACGGACCGCCGAGCTGAAGGAGCGAGCTACGGATGGAAGGACCGAAAACGACGAACAACCCGGCTGTGCCTAAGGGGGCTGACATAGAGGGTGTGATGCACCAGGCGAGCATTGACCTGCAACATGGTGGGTTCGGTTTCATGGAGCCCAGCCAGTAAGACTTCTCCAAAGTTCCGAGTAAAAGCACTGGGGTGCCTCTTCGCCGTTGCGCTGCTCCTGTTGAGCTTGGAGTTCTCTTTCTTTTGGATCAATCTTCGCCGTCGTTCCTAGCTAGCTGTGGAGTCACCCGTGGTTTTTACGAGGCGGAGGGAGTGAGGGAGTTGGATGCAAATCCCAACATCCCAAACCACCATCACTGGAGTGTTTGCATCGGAAAGATACACTTAGAATCCAGACGAAGCATTGAGAAATGTGAGGGTACTTCCAGGTGATGTTCAGCGCTGCGGACGAGAACAAACCAATAATTTGGGAACAGAATGAACAGATATTATCCAATGTCGTGTTCCTACTTGTTCCATTGGTTCAATAGACAAGCATGCAGCATACAGTATACAGCCAGGCAAAAAAGACTCATGCACTCCCAGCTAGTCAAGTGTTGACCGGCAGAAAGTTATATAGTTTTCGTTCTTTGTTTCTCCTTCTTGTCCTCAGTTCTTTCATTCTTATGGAGTGCTTCCTCTTCAAGGGTCAGACATGATTGATGTCTTTACCACTGGGCCGTCCATGATCACCTTGGTCATGAGTCATGACGAATCATCAGCCGGTCATTCCAGTGTCTTTTTCCTGAAGGATCTATAGACCATCGATCCTCCTCCTTGCCACCCGCAGCACACGGAGCACCTGCTGATCTTGGCGATTCATGGAGCAGAATGAGCAGAAGAGCTGGGTGATGCGACAGCAGAATGAGCCCTGTAGAGCCATGTATAGACATGGTCGGATTCGAGCGACTGCCACCGAATGGTAGGTCTCGGGGGCACTGTGGTGATTCAGCAGGCGAACGGCTCAAAAAGTGTGTCATCGACTGGCGACCTGGGGAGGTGTGCGTTTTTACAAGTCGGGGGACATGCTTCTTCAGCTGACGCAGGACATAGGACCTACAGAAGAACATATAATCTTTTTTATGTTAGAAGATGATGGCTCTCCTAACAGGTCCCTGAGGTCCCGCCCGCTTGGTGACAGGCGCAGGTCATTGTCTCCGCCGAGCTGCCGGACCTGAAGCCCGAGCGCGGCAAGAAGCTCCCGGACGCCGTGAGGCCGATGCCGTCACCGGTGGTCGACGCGCGGTCTGTCGTGGTGGCGTGGTGGCGGAAGGTGGGCCTGGCGGTGAGGGTTTTAGGGTTTGGTGTCAGGGACATTGCTATCCATACGACAGAACAGGTTCGTTTTTCTGTGGTTTGGGAGACTATGGGGCTATGATTTACAGTGGACATTTACCGGAAAAGACACTGGAAATGCCAGTGTGGGGTTCTTTCCGAGGGCTCTTGCATGAACAGGAGTTTCTGGTAGCTGGATATTTGGTCACAGCCTTCATCATAGCCTGCAAGACAGACCAATGACCAGCTTGTCTTTTCGCCCAAAACAGAGATCAGGCTACAATTTCAGCCCGAAGATTTCTGAGGTACAAGAATGTGATGACCTTGTGGTGACTTCTTGTTTGCTGCATCTCCATGGAGGAAAGACATTTGTGGGCCACCGTGGAGTGACTTTGGCCTGTACGTACTTGTGGCATCAAAAAAGTCTCTCCAGGCTCCCCACATGAAATCTCGAACCCACGCCACGTTTCAACTGGCATCGGCGCCAGGTTTCGCTTGTGCGCCCTTGACCGCTCCAGAGCACATCCGTGCTGTTGGGCAGGCCGAGAGATGCGTCAATATCATCAACAAATCTCAATCCTGAAGACTCTCCAAACCATTCCAAACCTGCTGGTTTCATTTGGTTTCCCCAAGGTTGATGGTGCGTTCCACTAGTTGAGACAGACCCTCATTGTTGGAAGCTTCTTCAGGCAGCCTATTGAGGTGATTTGTGATGATAGATTGATAAATTGCCTCCATGTTTCCATGGCTGGCTTCTCTATGTGCTCTATCTATCTTACCGACCAAGAAAAGAGAGGGGCCCCAGGGGTCCAGATCAGGTCAACCAGAAAGCCATCCGCCCTCAGAGGCGTCCGCCATGAGAATCCCTGAAGGGCCTTCAGGGACTTCCCCAAGTTTGACATTGCACTGAGAACATGGGAGCACTCCCCATTTCAATAAACACCCACATGCAAAACAGTGGGCTTCACAAGTCTTGCAAAGTTCCCTCCCATGCCTCCTGACAAGTGGGTATATCAATCTTTAATTTTTGAATCGGGTCTCTCTCTCTCTCTCTCCCTCCCTCCCTCCCCGAAACAAATCGCCTATCAAATCTGGTAACACACTGGAGATCCAGAGCTGCGATGAAACGCTCCGCCCGAGTGCTCCGCCGGTCGCTCGCGGCGGCGGCATGAGGTGGCGTGTCCGAGCCGTTGGCACTCTCCTTCGCCACTGGGCTGGAGATGACGGCAGATCGAGATGCAACTGGAGATTGACTGAAACGAAACACTGTTGCGTGGAGGAGGGCTTCCCATTTTCCACTGGGGGCCCAAAACCATCCAGTTGAAAACTTGAAAGCCTTTTCAGCTAAGCAGCTACTCTTTATCTATATACAGCAGGGGGAGTTCTTCCTTTTCTTGACGCATTTTGGAAACAGAGTTTGGGAAGATGAGGACTTCGATGGACTGTGTGACGCTAGTTCATTTAGGGATGCCCTCCCGCTCTCATTCGGCTGATTCATCAGGTAGATCAAAGATGGACTCTACCAACGTTCCTCTGCGTCTGTCCTGCCTCCTCAGTGATCCAAACCACTCCAACAAAAAACCACCAGAAACCACGCCTCTTTCGCCAGCTTCGTGGTCTTCGCCGACCCCGAAACGGACGGCAGCTCCGAGGCACCGACCCGGCGGCCGCCGCGGATTCAGCGGATTTTGTCCGACGACCGATGGACGCCTTTTCTCTAATGGCCGGTGAAGGGGGATGGAAGAGGTCGGCAGAATCCAGACATCACCAGCTGGCAGAGTAGAACACTACCTACCGGTATGAGAACACAGTGTTTTAGGATGTTTTAGGGCATTCTAGGTGGTAAAAGGGTTTTTGTTTATCAACCGTGGTTGTCTATCATCCTCTTCTATTTCATTCTATTTGCACTTGCACTGGTCATTTTAGCAACCACGTAAGTGTCGTGGCTGGAATTCTTACCAAGACATACCCAGACCAAATTCTTGCGCAGCTGAGGAATCTGAGCTTTGAGATTGAGCTTTTCAAGGCTCGCTGTGGGATCCGTCTGGGGATTGTGCTTTCGACTTCAAAGCTTTGAAAGTGGTGAATCGGCCACTGGGTGAATAATTGGATTTGCTGAATTAAGTCAGCCTCACCTTTCAACATTCAAACCGCCTATGTTGGGTATTCAACGAGGATTATATAAGTCTGGTACAGGCTTAGATCATCTTGATCTATGAGTTGTAGGACCAAGTCTAAAACATTCCAAGCACAGATGGTGGCAGAAGGCAAGAATCGCAACTCCAAGTCCAAGAGCCAATTATGCCCCGAGGTCAACAAGCTCAAGGATGTTCAAGGTATTTTCTATCGATCCGCTTGGCTGCACGACTTTTGCACTGCCTGGGCCTGCGGCCGTTGCCAGGCCAGCTCGCCCCCGAGCCCACTGCGATACTTGGGCGGGGAGACCCGTTGACAGCGATGGATCGGTTCTCTGGTCCGCCACCCTGGTCTTGGGGATGTAGTCTGCAGAGACCGGTGATCAACGGGTTTGGTCATGCTGAAGCATCCAATCCACGGACGCACAGAGCGAGGAATGGTACAGGTCGTGCTACAGCTACAGGTCGTTGAACAACACAGTTCCGGCTTCTGGAAAGCCGTGAAGATGGGTTTCCACGCTCTGCAGGCACAAAGATCTTCTGGGAGAGCCGCTGGGCCCTAATCATGGGGTCAAGCATCCTTTAAGTATGTTGATGTACGCTGGCGATGATTTGTTTCAATGCAATGAGTAATTAGCATAGGAAGCTTCACCTTATAGAGGTTCATATCAAACCTACAGATGGAGCGGAGCGTTGGCCAAAGAAGATGTTTCGGCGATGTGAAGATGCAATTGGTACAAGGGAAATGACCCTGCAGTCCCCGGGTGACTTGTGCATGTGACAAACCAAGGTCCATGTTGATTCGACTCGACCCGGGGCCCAGCGTGTTTCGGCGCCGATGTTCATCGCCTCAAAGCCCCTTTCGCTTTTAGCTCCACCTCAGCTCTCCAACACAGCAAACTTCCAGCTATACAGCTACTTACAGCCGACCAGCCAAGCCACCACCAGACATTCGAAGTCCGCTCTGCTGTGCTTGCGCGCTGCAATGGTCACTGGAATGCTGACCTTGCCACTGCAAGACAGCTGGAAGACGGACAAGACCGATGGCAGTGGTAGTGGACAGATGCCTCAACGCTCCAGCCTCTCCAGGTGGGTTGTTTTGCACCACCGCGCTCCGAAGATCATACCAGGTGAATTGGGAGGCTGAAGATGGCTCAACAAACTTCGCGGCTTATATGCCAGATATGCCTTACCTTGCGGGTCATTCTTCGCACTCGGGGGACCTTTCTCGAAGGGTGTTAGTGTTGATGGCTTATTTTCTTCCCCATTGAATTGCGAACGCCCGTCATCCAACGGACGGAACTCAGGCGAACATGGACCTCACAACTCATCGGTAGAGGACAATAGGCGGACGATTCCTTCAGCGCACCACATCAGTTCAATCAAATCCACCCCTGGGGCCCCTGGGATGTCCGGGCAAGAATTGACTCAGTCAAACACCTTACATGTTTCCAAGACCGGCACCTATCATGTTCTCACTGGTCCAGCCAAGTTCAGCTGGCTTGACTGTTGAGGGTGTAGAGGGTGGTGAGGCTTTGTGGGCAGGGCTTGGAAGCTAAGAATGATTTGAGCTTCCAGCCATCCGAGAGGGGCATTGTTGGGTGGTCTGGCAGGCTCACGCAAGATCCATCAATGTATCCCAGAGCACTGATAGATTCGGCACAGTTCCAATGTTCCCGTTGGCCATGCACCCATTCCATGGATTATGGTCTTGTGGCAATGCGTCACTGGTTTTGCCCCAACTGCTGCTTCTCCCCAATGGGTTGGCCCAACTGCTACTGACACGACTCGTGGAGGCTCTTCGGAGGTTCTCCGGTGGGCCGCCGCCCCCAGTGCGGGTGTGCCTTGGTGCGAGGACTTGGGGGGCTTGGGGCTTCAATTCGGACGCCCTCCTCGTTGAGTAAGGAGAGAAGTCGTGAGAAGTCATCTTCGGCCAAAAGAACCCAACAGCTTGGCCGCTAAAGCCCGAAGCAGGTCCCTGGGCTTCGCTAGTCCGCTAGTCTGACACTGCTTATCATGCGAGGTAGAACTATGGGTGCCACGGCCGGAATCCCTATGACCCCACAGTGTCCTATAGGAACTAGTAACTGGTTTGTTGTATGGGGCTTCAAGCGTGGTTGGGCTTCACCAAACTGGGCAGAGCCCAGAAATCGTTACAGTTCATGGGAACGTGGATGAGGATGAGAACGCGGCCTCAAGGCTCTTGTCCCACCTCAGTCTTGAAGTTCGTGAATCCAAGGTGGTGCTGGTATCCTTTCGATTGGCGACACTTGGGCTGCACTTTCGGCACTGCTGTTTTTGCTTTTTTTGCTTGTGCTTCTGTTCCTGCTCCTGCTGCTCTGCTGCTGCTGCTGCTGCTGCTCCTGTAGAGCTGGGCCTTGCTCTTGCCAAGCATCAACAAACATATGACAAGAAGCAGCACAAAATGAGAGTCCATGGCCGTGTTTTCGCAGGTGGCGGAATATTACCCCCAAGGAAGGGGTTCTCGTATGGGCATATGCGTATGGGGAGGCCTTCCAAGCTGCTGTATCATTCTTTGTGGGGCTACCAGGCCTTTCATGAGAAGCGTACGACTTACAGTATATACGGTTGGAAGAGTCAGAGTAGACATGGCTAGACTCGTGGCTGGACCATCCTACTCCTCAAAACGAGATCCTTTTCATCATCGTGGTGAAAGGTATGTTTAAACTGTATAACTGGTGTAGGTCATTTATACATGATGTGCGTTTGTGTCTTAGAGACCTCAAAGGGCTGGAGGGCCGCAGACAGCTGTGACTGACGTTTCTGCCGAGGAGTGGTTTCGCTCCTTGTGCGAGCCAGCTGTGCCCGCAGAGGACACACAGGGTCCCAAGCGAAGGGCGAGGATTCCAAAGAGTTGGTTTTGCTTCGAGCAGTCCATGACACCTCCCCTCTGTCTATTTTCCACCTCTTGGGACGTTGATGCTTTCATGAGAAGTTGAGAAGTTGAGATGAGTGGTTACTAAGTGATCCCGTGAGTTTGTTCAATCGTGGCTGCAGACCTAGGCTGCCTGGTTATCCCAAGGTTTATGCTGAGTCCGCACGATCACAGGCATTCCAAACCGGTTGAACACAGGCTGTCAAATCTAACCCCTGGGTTTAACGATGTTCCTTGGCAAACCATGAGTTTGACTATGCTTCCTTTAACACCATTTTTAGCCACTGCAATGGATGAGGTGCGGCAATGAAGTTTTTCTCGAATACTGCCAATCATGAGCTCTGTGGCAGCTTTGTGGGAAGACCACACCATCACACTAGGTCAGGACTCCAATTCAGCCACCACATGTCACTAGATTGGATGTATTCACCTGCAATTTTCCTCCCTTTCCCTCCAGATGTAGTCTTAGTTCGAGGTAGGAGGATTGTTTTCATTCACAAGCTTGGGGAGTTTACGACACCTCGGTGTCACTCACGACACCTCGGTGTCACTCAGGAGCCAGGGCACGCCCGGCTGCAGCGGATTCATGAGGAACGGGCTCGTGACCTGGAGTCATAGAGGGCTGAAAGAGCCGTGGGTTTCGAACCGGTGGGACCCAGAGATGGCGCGCGCTGTCGGGATCCAACTGGGTGATGGCGCAACTCATCAGGGTATAGGTGGCATTCTTCTCTTCGGCGCAACTGGCTGGCTGCGGGCGGAGGATGTGAGAGAATTCGTCGGCTTGGGATGCTCATCCCAAGAAAGCGCGGAGACAGCAAACGCCGCAAAAGCTTATCAAAGACAGACCTCCCACAGCAGATTCTTAGGATGTTGATTTTGGGCAAATTTGTCAAAACAGAATTCTGAGGATGAGAATCCTTCTTGAATTTTCACTCCTCAGACCTGCCTTCTTGTTTTTCTTTGGTGAGGTGAGCAAGCCGCAGAGAAGGCCCGACTGGAGGCCTTGAGGAAAGAGAACGAGCAGAAGGTGGGCCATGGCCGGCCCCGGCGGCATGGCCGTGGCCAACTCCGCGACTATTTCGGCGATTTATCCGACCAAAATAGAATCGCTTGCAGTGATTCAACATGGCAAGCCAGAAGCGTTCAACATGAACTTCAATTCCCAGTTGGTCCCAAGCAACTAGGTTCTCCCAGGGATGGTGGCCATTGCTCTGCAGCCTCATAGGCTGTAGGCTGTAGGTTTGTTTTTGGACAAGGGGGCTCAGCATCAGAATCAATGCCCATCTCAGGCAACCAGAGAAATCAAGCCCATGGTTTCACAGTGGCCGTGTATTCCTGTAACAGTGGTTCCAGAAGACAAGGCGTACAGACTCCGGCTGGTTGACCATGTCATTGACCATGGTCTTCTTTTTTCCGCCATGTTTTCTTGCATCCTGAGTGTGCAAGCGAGCACGCTTGCCGCTTGCATGTCAAATCCAAGCTGAATCTGGTTCGTTGATGTCCAATCAAGAAGACCTGGAAAGCCGGCTGACTTGGAACGCTTCCATTTTGTTCACCACTGGGAGGTTGTTGCGTGGTGACAAGCAGCCCGGTTGCAGCGATGTGCCCCACTCAAACCAGGCGGAGGAGTGGCAAAGAGAGCTTCAAGACATTGAGAAGAGACGTGCACAGCTGGAGGGCAGCCCGGCTGGGAAAGTATATGTCCAGGTGTTCGACTGGTTTAATGTTGTTCCCTCGACATAGAGAGATGACACGACATGATATTATATAGGCATTTTAATCGAGGACCAACTTCTTTTTATCAGCTTGTGGCAAGGTCTTCTTTGCTACTGTTTGGGTCATTGATTCATCCTTTCAGCCTGGTATCGGAATTGCTCGCTTGGATGCGAAAAGTGTCTTCCACCAATGATTCTGGGCGTCAGTTTTCTTGACAAGCACAAGTACTTATGTGTAAATTGGATTACTCAATACTCCACGGATCCTACAGCATGGACAAGGATTTGCTGGGTCCTCTTTGGTTTGAGTTATGACCTAAGTACATCAATGGCTGGTTAAGGGCTGTTCTCTGGGGGAGGACAGCCTGGTTTCTCCTACGCAGTACGGCTACGCTTCTGACTGATGGAAGCAGCACAGCGATCTTGAGACATCCACTATAAAGGGTGGTTCGTTTTCACCACACTAAACGAGTTCTTCAGTGAACTGCTGGGGTAGAAGGTCTGAAAAAGAGTTTGGTAATCTTTGGCAATCCCCCACCAAACTGGGGGTTGCTGTCTACCAAGACAGCCGACAGTAGCCACAGGAATGGTTGGTCCGGTCTTGGCTCGATCGGTCGTAACAGGCAGTCCTGGTCCTTTCTTCCTGTAGTGTCCAAGACTTCGATGCGGTCCATGCCTTGTGAATGATCTTTCCCTGTGGGGTTTGTGAAGGCCAGGAAACCTCCGGTTCGTTTCGGTTCGTTTCGGTTCCTTGAAACTGGAATGATGGGCGGTTCGGTTCGCAAATAGAAACGGTTCGTTTCGGTTTTCGTGAGAATCGGTTCGGTTCGGTTCGGTTCCTTCTTTTTAATATACAACAGAAGGCGGCGTTTAAAGCAAAGGGTTTGGCAGATCACAGCACAGTCTCCGGAGTTTCCATAAACTGAGACCCATGGGGTTCCTTTTGGGTGAATTCAAAAACGACCTGAAAGTGATTTTCGGTTCCTAACAATCGTTTTTGGCATAGTTTGGACGATTGCCACTTCGAAATCATGTTTGGACTGGTCGAAACCGTTTCTGGCTCATTGAGTTGTTGGCCTGGGCACTTTGCAAGGCCATGCTTCGCCCATCATACAGATTTCTGAATGCAGACTGCAAAAGCTGAAAGGTACATTGGGATCCCAAAAACGATTTCTAGACAACAAAATTCATTTTTGGTAGACCGCTGAATGAGTCATATTAAATACATGATTGAAAATGATTTTCACATGGCAAAAATCATTTTTAGACAGGTTTTATTGCACGTTGCCTGAGTACAGCAATGAATTGACATTCCGATCATCGATTCCTCAAAATCTAGATACTTTCAGAAAGAAACCTTCCTGTCGTCATGGTTTCAAGCTGTGAAATCCTCGCTTGGAAAGCTTGGTTGTGACACCTGACGAGAAACGCTGTGCTTGAAAAGGTGGCCTGTGAATGTTTGCAAACACAGAAGCTAAACACACACAATAATCGAAGCAGAATGTTCCAACCAAATATAGACTATATAGATAGCATTGCGGTTCGTAACGGTTCCTTGAGGCAAAAATAAACGGTTCGGTTCGGTTCGGTTTGACAGAAACTGCTTTTCAGTCCGGTTCGGCTCGTGTCGGTTCCATTGAAACTGGTACCTTTCCGGTTCGGTTCGCGGTTCGCGGTTCGGTTCCTAGGGCTTACTGGAAGGCAGACGACAAGTGACCCCAGCCTTCTTCGTGGCCGTTCCTCGGCGGGTTCCTGGTTCCTTGGCCGACGACTTCGGTCGCTGGAGGTGAAGACTTGGAGAAGGACTGCCTCTCCTACTTTGCCACGGCCGACCTCCTCTTGTCGCGGCGAGAGGCCGCGGAGGAGGCGGTGGCGGAGGAGGCGTGGACGAGAAGGGAACTGAAGCTGAAGTTGCTGGGGATTACAGGCGTGTTTGGCTTTCAGTAGTGAGTCATGAAGGCTTGGGAAATGCTAGAATGAATGTCTTAGTTCAGATTCATGATAGTCAATAATGATGATGCCTCGAATTCCTTTTTCAAGGACTTCCAGTTGTCACAACACTTTGTATAGTAAAGCTGTTGGGAGCTAGTGCGTCTGAAGCAGAGCCTCAGCTGCGCTGAGCACCCGGGATGCCAATTTGGGATTTTCAAAAAGACCACTGTGGATGGTGGATAATGGGATGCAAAAAAAAACTCTCTAGATCCAAAGAGGGTCTCATGTACAGATTGATACCCTGGCCCGGAAGTTGTAGGAAATAGTGAAACAAGAGAGTTTCAGACGGCTCCAGGGTGGTAGCCTGTCTCTCAATTTGGATACTCTGCCAGGAGACTCCCATACCTGACACTCCTCAGATGGCACAAGTGGAGGAGGCACCGGCCAAGAAGTCTTTGATCCCAGCGGCTCGTCGAAGAAACCGGCAGAGACGCACGACTGGGACGCTGTCCGGAGCTCACGTCATCGGACTTCTGTTCAAAGAGTTCTCACAACTTTAGAACAGGTCGCTCGGTCGCCCAACGCAGCTTTTCTACGACTGCAGCAAGGTATTAACTGCCTAGCTTTCGTCCCCCTTGAGCCTAGCTTCCGTCCCCCTTGAGACTCTTCTAAATGCTGCGGTGTTCAATCACATGCCTAGGCATCGCGTGTTCAATAACCTGGCAAGTACAAACTGGACAAGTTTTTGTTTTGCTTTGTTTTTTCCCGAATGCGTAGCGAAGGGTTCTCGTTTAACTCTTGGGGGTCTGGGGGTAGAGTCTTGTTCGCGACCCGTTGCTTCTATGTTCGCAACCGTCCGCAACCGTTCGCAACCGTTCGCAACCGTTCGCAACCGTTCGCAACCGTTCGCAACCGTCCGCAGTAGGTCGCTAAGGCGCTGCCATTGGGGGAAGCTTTTGCAAGTGACTATTCATGGATGTGTCACGTGTCAGTTTGCGACGCTAGTCCATTGTGATTTGCGTGAAAATGACATGTCGCGCAAGAAGCGTGATGCATTTCGCTGCACAGGCGCAGCGTTTTGTGAGATCTGCAGATTGCTGCGCAGTTCCATTGGGATTAGCGTTTGGAGAGTCGTGTTTTTGGGGTGTTGGATGTGGCCGTGCCATTGGGATTTGCGTTTCAGGGTGTGGCATCGAAGCTCTGTTTTCGTGACAAGTCTCAGCTGAAATGCCGATTTTGGTGGATGGGAGTGTGCTCAGAACGGGTCGAAATCATTCCAAACGTGTGGTGTGGTGCAAATTTTGTTGAAGCTCACATGAGACGACATTGTTACTTTTCGTGGCAGGCGCAGGACTTTGTGCGGGTTTTGAGGTGTGGAAGTATGATTTTCGTGGCAGGCGCAGGGAATCGTGAGGTTGCGATGTGTGACGGAGGTGACATTTCGTGACAGGCGCAGTACTTTGTGCGCGTTAGACGTGTGGACGCGGAAAGATTCGTGGCAGGCGCAGGGAATCGGGAGGTTGTGAGTTGTGGTAGAGGTGAATGTCGCTGTCACATTGGGATTGGCGTGTGAGCGGGTGTCGTTTGGAGGGGCTGGAATCGCGAAACTGCTTGGCAGGGCTGCGTGATGTGTGTGCTCCGATGGGTGTTTCCGCTGGACTTTTGGAGGAAGTCTCGTGCGAAACGTTCGTTTTGCAGACCTTGACATGTGAGTTTTTGAGGAAGTCTCGTACGAAACGCTCGTTTTGGGGACTTGACATGTGACTTTTGGAGGAAGTCTCGTACGAAACGCTCGTTTTGGAGACTTGACGTGTGACTTTTGGAGGAAGTCTCGTACGAAACGCTCGTTTTTGAGACTTGACGCGTGACTTTTGGAGGAAGTCTCGTACGAAACGCTCGTCTTGCAGCCTCGCAGCGAAGAGTGTGCCCTACAGGAGTGTCCCACAAGAGTGTCCTACAAGAGTGTCCCACAAGAGTGTCCTACAAGAGTATCCCACAAGAGTTTCCTACAAGAGTGTCCCACAAGAGTGTCCCACAAGAGTGTCCCACAAGAGTCTCCTACAAGAGTGTCCCACAAGAGTGTCCCACAAGAGTGTCCCGTATGAGTGTCCCACAAGAGTGTCCCACAAGAGCGTGCCGCATGTCCCACAAGAGTGTCCTACAAGAGTGTTCCACAAGAGTGTCCCGTATGAGTGTCCCACAAGAGTGTCCCACAAGAGTGTCCTACAAGTGTGTCCCACAAGAGTGTCCGACAAGAGTGTCCCATAAGGGTGACCCACAAGAGTGTCCTACAAGAGTGTGCAACAAGAGTGTCCCGTAAGAGTGTCCCACAAGAGTGTCCTACAAGAGTGTCCCACAAGAGTGTCCTACAAGAGTGTCCCGTAAGAGTGTCTCACAAGAGTGTCCCACAAGAGTGTCCCGCAACCATGTCCCACAAGAGTGTCTCACAAGAGTTATGAGTGTCCCACAAGAGTGTCCTATAAGAGTGTCCCACAAGAGTGTCCCACAAGAGTGCCCTACAAGAGTGTCCCACAAGAGTGTCCTACAAGAGTGTCCCACAAAAGTGTCCCGCAAGAGTGTCCCGCAACAGTGTCCCGCAAGAGTGTCTCACAAGAGTGTCCCTTAAGAGTGTCCCACAAGAGTGTCCCACAAGAGTGTCCCGCAAGAGTGTCCCGCAACACTGTCCCGCAAGAGTGTCTCACAAGAGTGTCCCGCAACAGTGTCCCACAAGAGTGTGTCCCACAAGAGTATCCCACAAGAGTGTCC